TGGACTATAAAAATTGTTTTTTTCAAATTCAAATTAGAGTAACCTATTTATCTATATGTGTATTTTTTTAGTTTAATTGATGTAGCTCGGTCGACCGAAGAAACGTAACATAATAATACCTATCAGATATTTTGTCAATTATATCGTGACGCTTTAAAATCACTATTATAATATCCTACCATTTATGGTATAAAATTACTTTCGGCTAGACGGCTGTTAGCGGATAATGTTACATATTATTATGTGCCTTGTAATGTTTGCCATAGCCCAAAGAGGCACTGCCACCTATATGCATACGTCGTTTTCTACAAATTCAAAAGAATTCTTCAGACCAAACCGACAACCAAAACGTTCGTTAATCCATTTCCTTGTATACAACTGTATTACAAGGCATCTAATGATATAATGCATATTGAAGTACATGGATAACCTGTAATAGTATGTTTCAAAACGAGCCCATAGTCAGTTGCCCAGTAATATCTATGCAACTCCAACAATAATAATAATTATACAAACAATACTATATACCATCCAGCAATCACATAAGGTTTTTAAAAAAACATTCTGATAATATTTCATTGAAAATTATATTTGTTTATAATAATTATTGCCATACTATTTTTTAACTTGTGTTTTTAACGGGAAAAACAATATTAATAACCCAAACTTTTCAATCGTATTTCCCATATTTTTTTTATAAATTTAATAATAATTCAATATACTTATAAAATGTATTGTATGTTCCTGCAAACCTCAAAAAATCAATTAGAAAATATATATACTTTTAAATGTGTGGGATAGATACACTGTAAATATTATAAGTGCACATAGTATCCCGTAACCGTATACATAGATACTCATTAGTCATTAACCTCCAACATTTTTAAATATTAAGTTAGATAAGTCATAGGACAGCGCCATTTTCGTATTCCAAGTTATATGCCAAGAATAAAACGTTTTGTTAGTAAAATATGGTTATAGACGTGTAGAGACATTCTTTGTGAGATCATCGCACATAACGTTTTCCTTTTATAGTTTTCGACGAGTCATAAAAATTGGAATTAGAAAACATCAATACATCAACACTTCAAAGACTAAAAAAAAAATCTGAACGTTACTACTTGATATGAATTAGGTGGGATTCATTTCCAATGCAAACAAATATATCATTGAGAAAGTACACTGTAAAAATGCTCTCTTCGTACATCACAGTTGTCCGTTTGGAAATGTTGAATTTATTTTTTAATTTTGATATTATGCGAAGAAATCGAAAAACATTTTAAAAATGCATTTTGAATTGACGATTTGAAGTGCCAGTAAATAGAACAATTTTCAGAAAAGTTAATGAATTGTGTGAAAAAATAAGCTTATAAACACAAGAACATATCACACGTACTAGTTACATAATACAAATGATACTTTGAACTTGTAAATTAGATTATATTATTAATTATGATCGTTACTATCAATGATCAAATAATTATTGTTAATATACATAAATGCCAATAATGTCTAGTATAGCTACGTTTAAAAGTGATTAATAGCTATCTACAGCCATATATTTATCGCTTTCTACATATGGTATTTTAAGTGAAGGGTGTAAAAAATAGTTTTGTATTTTTTTTATACCGAGTTTTTTTATACATTCTAGAAAGTAGATTTATGCCATTTATGTTAATCTGATTTGAATTGAAATAGTCCTAATAAATCGAATTAGTAGCAAAAAGTTCTTCTTTTTATAAAAAAAAAACATTTTCTTTCATAACAAGCGATGTATTGCTTGCCATAAAATTTGTTTAATATGATAACAAACGTTAACTTAAAATATTATTATTTTATTTAATTTAGAAGATTCCTTGTCGTGTAAAAAAAACAAGATTATTATTTATCATTTACTATCTACAGAGTGATCTATTAGCAAACGTTAATGACTATAAAAACAATTATTCAAAACTGATGATCGACCATTTAAAATGTTTAGTAAATTATGCTTAATTCAACATAAATACCTAACGTGACTTAATTGATACCTAAAGTAATGTTTGTACTATATTTTAATATATACAGGAATTTGTAACAACGAAATATTAGTGTTGAAAATATACTTAAACATTTGGTCTAAAGAACAAAATTAAGCGGATTGAGCAACTTTCTCACTACATTCACAAATCACAACTATATGCCCACCGGCCTCATTCGATAACCAAAACCTTTACCGCTTTGAAAACACAAATTATAAAGTATAAATCAAATTGTTTTACAATAAGTACTATTCGACAGGCAATAGAGGAAAACTCTAAAAGCACTCGCCACCTTATGACATGAAACTACTGAAGTATTAAATCCTAATATAGAAACACACTCTTACTCGTCGAAAAATATTTTAGAAGCCTCTTACAGCATAATTATATAGTTCCGAACTACAGCGAGAGTCTTATATGCAGACATAAAAAATTATTAAAGTTAACCGGATGAGTACTTAAATTTTCATTGCTAACATTTATAAATGAACGCGAATCCCTAAGTGTTCTCAGTATCTTACTAAGACTGAAGGTATATAATTGATCGCTTTGATTCCATAATAGCTTATAGAAAACTTAATAGTGAATATAAATCTAATGCCCGCTGCGTTTTAGCTGAGTAACACACTGGTATATTGTCAAATACAAATACCGCGACATTCAATGAGAATTACTATAAAATATGTAAAAATAAAATACTAAGGCCACTCTCACTTTCCACAGATACAGACGTTTATTATCGATTATTTTCTAATAAATTCAATAGCATACACATTTCAATTTCCAAGCAGCATATAATGTCACCGGCCAACGCAAAAACTTGATACACAAATTATACAGCTGATTCGACTGAAAAAAATTTCTTTTTGGTCCATAACGGCACTCTCGCCAATGACCTTTTACAGATATTATTATTGTTATTTTCGTTTATAGATACCAGTTAACACATATTTTCCTCTCGAGCGGATCTGGCCCCACCTTGTATGATAGGAGCTTTCACGTGGTAGCCAAGCGTCTTCCACTGGTCACTAATACCGACGAACCAGTTTTGCCGGTGATATTGAATGCCAAAATCACGTCATAGTAAAAACGATAAAAAACACCTAAAAAATAACTCAATCACATTATCGAATACTGCTCCCTCTCCCGGCCATTAGGTAAATACCGCTTCTATTGAACAACTCTAACTAGGTTTTCAGTCATGTCTAACAATATTAGGTAAGTTTTGACTGGTGTAACCAGGACAACAATAACAAATTATTGGCGCAAATTACGAAGTATCAGTAATATACTATCAACTAGTAATAGTATTCTATATTTTTTATTAACTATTATTCAGTGATTATACCATTTCATATCCGAATTTATATTAGTTGTAAGTTGATACAAGTCGGAACACTCTTGTGCCTCTTTATCAGTCGTAGTTTAAGGACACCGAGATAAGTTGAATATAGGTGAAGAATATTTATTTAGTTACTATAATTATAGTATTACTATGATTGCAATTTTTTTTTTAAGAAAACACCATGTTGTAGCAAACACCGCTTCATTTTTTATTTAAGTTACATATGTGACAATCACTTAATGACAGTTTAAATAATTGTTTTCCTCTATATTATATAGTATTTTTTGACAAACAATTGAAATAAGTGAGATAACCAAATAATCTGTTTAATTTACTAAGCACATAGTAGTGATAAAATGTTAAAGTTAAATAAAGTTATCTAAATATTATAATTTTTTTAACTTCATAACTATTGATTGTTTTTTTTTTAAGGAAGTTCTATTTTTATATGATAATTAAATAACGCAATGGTAAGCTTTTGATAAGCACGTCCTCTATGTATTATAAATCAAGTATTATACATTTTAACCTCTTTTTTCTTAATTCTATACTTTCCTCATTCCCTCTTTTTTTCTCTCTCTTCTTATTCATCGACATTTTTTACCCTTACAGTTATATCATCCTAAATATACCTCGAAAATCCCGTTTCTAGGTTCGAAGGTTCGGTTAATGAGAGTCAGAACATTTAAATATTTCAGTGAAAACACTTTATTGTAATGATAGTACCTATAATAAATAAATAAATATATATCTACATAGTGTAAAGGTAAAGTATACTTAGTTGTAGCCTGATGAACTTCAGATGAATCGATCCTCTCCTGATACTGTATCCTGTCTAAAGTAAGTAACTGATTTACTGATACATCATATTTTGATTTATTTACTGACAGTTGTAGTACTGTACCTAACTGGCATAATATGCCTGGGACGATACGAAAACACGTTTTCGTTTTTAGTTTATAGATAATATGATTTGTGACCGGGTTTTATAACCTATTATATATTATGAGGGGAGGGTATGACGTTGGACGCCGGGGATGATAATTTGTTGAAATGTTATTTATTAACCCGGGCAAAGCCGTGAGTACACGGACAGCTAGTACACCATACGTGAGAATCGGATTCGCTTTCACGGTGTTTACGTATGAATTTCACTGACTTTGACCGCCGATACGGGAATTATATTATGGGAAATAATTATTTATAATATTTTAAGTGTGGCGAGATTATGCGGTTTCAGCGCGTTATCGTCCGGGATCGGTACCAGATAACAGCGTAGCCTTGGCGGTATGGAAAGCCGTGGTATATTCAACGATGATGATGATATTATTATAGTTTTTATTTGTGTAAGCATACACATATAGGTAGGTATGACAAGGAAAGTTGTAAAAACAAAATATGTGACATCCCGGTCGTTTGTGCTGTTCGAGTGCGTCCATAACCGGTGGAAGATTTCGTATTGCCTACCGGCCGGTAGATCGCGGTTACCTGTTTACCTATAGTATGCTATACCTACCATGGCCACGGTCGAGTCCGCCGACCTGCTGTTGCCGGGCTCTTGCGGCGGCACGATGAAAGGGGCGGGAGAAACGGAAAGAGAGCGGACAGGAACTTATAAATATTGGTGAGACTGTGACCCGAATATCATTCGTGTCCGACGTGACCTTGGTTCGTGTGCGCGCCCGGCTTGTGCCATCTTCGTCTGCTTCTTATATAGAATATCACGCGGACAGCGAGCCGTACATGCTGGTTCCCGCCAAGTTATTACTTATACCGCAATTACACGGTATTATTACTCGTTGTACTTACTAAAGTCGAAAACAGTACCGGTACCCTTCTGGTGCGTGACACCAAAAATCGTGCGCGCAAGTGTAGTGCCGTCGTTTCGTTTTCGAGTCAACGGCGTTCAACGTCTAACGTTTCATACTAGTAAGTACAGACTTATAATTTTTACTTTTATATGTATTGGTAACAGAAAACCCATACGGCTTATGATGTCTTTGATAGTATACACATACCCAAAAACAGCTACCGATCTTCGCCGTCAACACAGGAATTCACACCCCTCGCCATAGTTAATGGACTGGCATGACCGTAAACCATGATGAGGGTACCTCTGCCGACGGCGGGAATCCCGGATAAAATCGGTGGCCGTTCTTGTGTATAAAACCGCTTGTCTGTGTATTTTCAAATCAATGATAATGTCTGTCACGCACGTAACAAGACACATGCTACAACATTGGTAAAGTCGATTTATAACGATCATTAAACGCAAAGATTTAGCACGATAACTCAGCGTTAATTGGCCGCCTAAAAGTTCAGGTCCGTAAATCAAGTTTTGTGGGTTATATTTTATACATCGAGGACAAGGTCCGGTGCAAAAAACATTTATAAACTATGCGACACTGACTGAATTTCAAGCGTCGCGCCTTCTCTCTTCGTGATAATTATGTATTCTAACTGTACACGATCATTTACGGCCTTAGTGGTAAACACCTTGGCGACCAATTCGTTCGGACGTCTCGCCTCGTTCTACAATGTGGATTTCCGGGTTCAACAACTCGTCGTTTAATCACGTTTGCCATTAACGAACACATTAAAACGCAAATGTTCCATAAATCCGAACTCTAAATAATTAAAATATAACTAATCGTGTCAAGCTCGTCTCGGTCATTTAAGCACCAGTGACGTCCTCCAAAGAGATGCTTACGACCAACAGCCCACCCTAGTCTTCTAGACAAACCGTAGATGTGCAGTAGATGCTATGACTGAGATTATTACAACGGTCCAACTACGATATGGGTTGATTTCTCTACTTCAGTATATACCAGACCTCTCATAGTATTGAAACCATCATTTGGTATGATCCTCAACAGTAATGGTTACTATTTTCTAACGGGTCACTGTCATTATCTAATTTTAAAACTAACTACACTCTCATTAAGTTAGTTTCTCGAACTCTCGTTGAGAAAAATATATCGTTGACATAGCGCACAGCTATTAAAAGTGCATTTTTTTTTATAATTTTACAGGAAAACGTTTAAAAGTTTAAATTGTTATAATACCAGTAAACAAATTGAATCTTCCCCGTTTTTTGTAAATTAAGAATAAGACGATAATATATGTAAGATGCATTATTAATTCACAATAACAATATGCACTTTTTATTCCTATTCACTGCCATCGACATAGACTAATTTATTAAATGTAACTAAGCTAGTCGATAGTCAAAATAAATATGATATGGGTGATAAAGATAAAACTAAAATAATATGGAAAATATACGTTTGCATTTAAAGATATATAATGTTAAAAATGACGAAATATACTAAAAGATAAGTTATAGCAAAAAACATAGTTTTATTTTTTAATTAACTTTGTTACTTACAATTATGTAGTTTAACGTTAACATCAACATTACAGAATATATTACGACCCATAAAATTATAATTGAAACGGTTAAGAAGAACCAGTACGGTGAGTAAAGGAGTAGAAAAGCAATGGTTATAAATTATAATTAATATTGTTGAATTCCAATTCGGCATTATTAACTTAGTTACACATAAATTAATTTGTAATTAAATATAAATAAATAATACTACACATTCTTTAATAAAAAAAAAACTATGTAAATCAGATAGAAATCCGACATAGGTAAAGTCGTTTTACACATGTAGTATAGTAAATTTTATTACAATATTATAGTTGATTTAATTTTTTTTTTCTCATCGTGAACCATAAGTAAGTGTGTTATAATTAATGAATATTGAACTAGAAATCATGCCGAATTTAATGGTATCGTTGTTAGTCATAATTCGATTATCAATAGATTATGGAGCTTTAAGGTAAACAGATGTTTTGAAACTTAATACATACATAAAAAAAAAATTCAAATCATGCGTGTATTCTATTTGTTTAACACTTTGTTAATCTAATAATCACATTGAGGAAGTCATCAGCAAGGCTATAAATTTTATAAATTATAGCCTTGATAAATGTACTAATAACAGTTTTTAACAATGCTTGTCTGTTCCGCTGACCATCGCATCGGTTACTGTACAATATAAGTGGTGTCCAAAAATTATAGTATCGTTTGTGACCGCTTTCTTTTTTCTTTTTTAAATGAAACAAATTTGTATCTATGTACACTTGGTGTTTCAATATGGTTGAATGGCCCTTATGACTTCCGAATACTAATTATTGTTTACATTTTCCCAGAATATCATTACCGGGTTCATAAACATTTTCACACGTGCGCCGCGTGCTACTATTTCAATGTGCTCATTAAATGGACACGACCGAGTCGTTGCTGTTCCTTTTTTTGAACTTTAAATAGTTGTTACAGTCCAAATGGCGCATACGGGGTTTTAAGTGTACTTTAACCATTGTATTTGTATAGTTATTTTTTTCCTGTAACCGTTTTGTTATTGTTCATTTTGTAAGTAGTATTGGATCACGTACGGTGTATTATATTCAATAAAAAATAATAAAAAAATGAATTGACTGCAATTGAAATGAAAAGTTTTAAGATACGACAGCGGTAATGTAAATAATTGGTTATTTCTATAATAACTAATGGCCGCCGTGCATCACACGTATAGAAAACCGAGTACTAAGAACCAACTATAAACCCGTATTCGTTAGCAATAACTAAATACTATTGTAGGTTTATGCACTAGGTAAGGGCGGTTATTTTTTAAATACTATCGGATACGTTCCAATCCCCCGAAGTGTGTTTACAAAGATAAAGTCAACTGTATTAGCTATAATTGAAAATTGTAACTGTAAAATTTGAAAATTGGAATTTCGGCGCCTCTAAACAAATCTATTATATTGCCTAAGGCGGAAGGCCATTAGAACGTCAAGTCGGGTATAATATTTTTCATAACTCTCCATTAAAACTTTCAAACCAGTATTTTTTGTTTAACTACATCAAACTGGATTGTGGTACTTCAAAAATGTCATAAATCATATTTTAGATACTCGAATAAGTAATACCTATATCCAATAAAAAAAACACATTTCAAATGCAACTCCAGGCGCACGAAAATCGTATGTGGTATTAATTTGTAACGGCGTTCGACGTGCTAAAATAAACACATTTCTAACATTAATTAGAACAACACTTAAATACGCGATTATTTTCTAATACTACTCGATTTAACTAAACAAACCGTATCTAATTTCGTGATATTTAATGACAATATTATCAATTACTTGCGGCGATAATTACTACTAATCTAATTACAAAGTCATTGCACCTTGATTTTTACTACGTTGTGTACACTGGCCGGTCTTACTAACACTCAACTCTTGGCTAATACAAAATATGTATAATATCGATGGCGCGGCGGCTGTTTATATGATAATTAATAACGATGCCATTTAAATGAGCGTCTTCGAAACTGGATCTTATAATGTACCGATAAAATAATATTAATACACTGATTCGACCTTTACGATTCTGGTTATTTGTTTAATTTTTTTTTCTAGAGTATTTTGAATAATAATAAAACAAATTATACGTAACGAAAAGCTATACATAAAGATTTCAAAAGTATTCTTTGGTTTGATATGTTAATATATTTTCACGACCCCGACGATGACATCATTATTATATACTTATGTATTACAATTAAACTCGTCCAAAGACATGTAAAACCGTTTATCGTGCATCTTAATATTGTAATATTAATCGCGCCGCAATGTTCCACTGTGGTAGATGGCCGGCGACATATTTTTCCCCTACGGTTCAGTGGATCCGATTAGTAAGCGAAAGCAGTCGATCGACTTTCTTGTCAGTGTGTGTGTGCGTGTGCATGTGTGTGTTTGTCGTTTAGATAAACCGGATAAAACAACCATCTAAAACCGAACGTCCTACAGTAATTATATTAAACCACTTTCTTTCCGGTTGCACCCGAAACACTATACCTACAGACGCGCGGTCGTATTTCGCGTATAATATGCAATTTCACTGTAAAACGTCGTCTGGACAGTCCACCGCTACAATACTACACTAGTGTGTGTGTATATATATATATATATATATTGCCTTTCCGATCGAGTTCTTCAATCGTCAATCATTTTATCCGTGCCTGCCGCTTTGACTTTCACTTGAAAGCCAAGGCGAAAACCTCTTGGACTGGTCACCGGCTTTCTTCGAAACGTCCGAGGATGGGCTCGTCTTGATAAAACGCACATTCCGTAGTGTTTAATAATAATAATTATAAAAATGACTTGTACACGCGTCTACACTAGTGTAGCATAGTTAGAGCCTCGAGGCGGCTAATGACTCGAAGGGTAGGTAACGGCGTGCTCAGATTCCGATTTCAAAGTTAGTGTCGGTATAAACATTGGTATTGACAAGTTAAGGGTTCTGAAACATTATGTTGATAGCACTGTTTTAATGCTAGCTGTATAACGAAGCATAAATTGTTACGCATGGTGTTGGTATAATATCGTTAGTCTTAACATGAAACGAGTAAATTGATTTAGAAACGTGTATAATTGTCACCTGTATCAAATAACACAAAAATAATATTAAAACAGAACTTTAAAAATAATTCCGTCCGTGCTGAAAGTTTTGTCGACGGGTGATATTACTTAATAATTTGTGTGTGTGTATGGAAAGAAAAAAAACATTGCTTTTCGGTAAATGTAACGGTAGATTTTCTTTTTCAGACATGAAGTTAGCGGCCATCGCCCTTGTGTTGGCTGCGGTGACCGTCAACGTAACGTTTGGCGTACAGCCGCCGCCCAACTTCGGGCCACCACAACACAAGTACAGACCACCGCCCAGTGGAGGTCCTATCCCGGCCAAGTATCCCGGCGGTCCGTTCGGTAAGAACGAGTTCTACTCAAAGTTCAACCCTCATTCGGCGCCACCGGGTTTTCGCGGACCTCCTCCGCAACCACCGCATTTCGCCAAGTTCCCTCCGCCGCTCAAGTCGTCTTACCCGCCGCTCAGCAAACTTCCGTCGTTTGCTCCCAACCTGAGACCGGGACCGCAGTTCCAGTCGAAACCCTACCAGTTCGCCGAAGGTCCTCCGCGATACCCGCCGAGGCCTAGCTCGAAAATCGTCAACAACTACGTGCCCAAACCCCAGGCGCCCGTTCCGGAATTCCAGCGTTTCCCCGTAGCCCTTCCCAGCAACCCGGCCGCTTTAGCTTCCATACCGGCCCCGTCGCCCCCGGCACCGTTGCCGGAGAAGCCCGTCCGGGGATCGTCGTCGTACATAATTAACAGCGACGGTGAAAGCGGTCCGATCAAGACCATACCGGCGCCCAACCTAAACCCTGCAGACAGGCCGGCCGACTTCGAGGAACAGCTGTACAGAGCGCAACGACCACATGTGCAACACTACCAAGTGCCACAGTACGTTCAGCCGTTGGACAATTCCATAACCGACGACAAACAAACCTACCAGGTAACGTAACCGCCTAGTTAATATTTAATTTATCATATGATGATGATTATTATTATTAGCCTACGAACAAAACAAAATGATCGCGTGCAAACGGTACTTAATAATATGGCAAACCGCCAAACGTCTCATCGCGATTACTTAGAATTCATCGATGAGACTGTATCATTTTTTTTTTTTGCGTCCAGCCTAAATTACAGTTTATTATACAAAAACAAGACGTTTATCGAAAACTATTGCTTTCTCTCGGATCTCAAACGTACCGTGTAAAAAAAAATGGTGAAGCACAATATAACGACAAGTCGAAACGGAAATCTTACAGTACATAACAATAATATAAAAACGATAGACCACGAGAACGATGTCAGTGTCATTACATTGTGTTTACTATTGTAACCGAGAGAAAGGTAGCGGCGATTGATCGATAAATAAATAAGGTTTTACACGAAATAATAATAATGTATAATACTGAAAGAGACCTAGACGGATTACGTGTTGGCTCATCAATGTGGAATTCTTGAAACGGCAACACACGCCAATGACAAAATACACATATAGATATCATGATGGTACGCGAGTTACGTGAATCCCGCAATTGTAAATCTTGACAACGGTATTTCAGTGTTAGTTGTTACTAAACATCTGTACTTACCTTGGATGGACAAATCTTCGGGTTTCAGTTAAGGTGACTTGGACGACTCGGCTCATTGTACGCTTAATGTTGCCCGAAAAAAACAACCCTACATAAATATTTACAAAGTTAAGCTTTTAACTGTAAATTAAAACCGCAAGTTTTTGTGAAATATTATTACCATGACGCTAATTTAAAAATTCGTCGCTATCTACATATTATAAGGTGGCCTTTTGAACTGATTCAGGGTACATAATATTATGGACTGTAAATCCCAGATAAAGAAGTTTTAATCCGATATTTTAGAATAATTTTCTTATCGATGTGTCTAATATTTTTGTGTAACACAAAACTAAAATGTAATCAGTTGTTCTGTTTTTTCTGGAAGGGAGATCGAGAAGTTAGAAGAGTACTTGAAAACAGTATTACATAAATGCAAAACACCTAGTTTTTTTTATCATATCAATTATATATATAACGACTATCAACATCGTTTAGTAATTTGTTCGTTTAAAAATTCGGTCAGTTAATAATTTTATTAGTCATTACTAATTAGATACACATTACACGAGGTGTCAAAACATCAAAAGACCCTCGTGTATATTATATATTCGGGTATATTATGGTGTCCATCTGGTGTCCATCTGTACTTGTGTATCTACATAGGATACTTTCCATACACATAACACACAACTGCATTTATTTATTATTCTTACTTAATATGTATTACTACTCACATTATTATCATAATATATGCCTTCTTGTATCATCTATATATTTTACCATTGTCCTAGGGTGTCATCTTCGATTTAACAATACCAGTTTATATAATGGAAACGGTAGGAACACCGGTTACAGTACATTCAAACTGCTATGGACATTAAAGGAACTATTACATACTCTATACACAAATTGTGTATAAAACAAAATTCTTTCAATAACACTTTACTATTCGTATAATGCAATATCGAAATATTATACAAACAATAACATGGTATATAACACGTTTCACTTAACACGCGTAATGTCATCTACAATTCATTTAAAAATAAATACAATTTCAATTTACGACCGCGAAAATGTCTATTATTTAGTGAAAAAAATGATACCGTAATGACATTTTAATGTGTTTAATTTGCCAATCGCTGTCGGTGTCCAATTTTTAGACGATTTCCCGATAAAACTTAACTTATTACATTAATTGCAATGCTAATCGCAGTATTATTGCTTTTGCAATAGTTCAATGCTAATTGTTATGCTTAAACAATTTCAGGTGACCGAAGACCCGAGTTCGTACAAAACACACCAACAAGCGTACTTCGCTCCAGACCCGGACACAGTGCCGTCGTCCAAAATCCCACCGACCACCGATCCCAACTCGATCCCATCGGGCAAAGTACCGTTGGACATCGCCTTGCAGCAACATTTAGAAAAACAACAGTCAGTCGACCAGTCCAACACTTTGACGCCGCAAGAGCTGTACTCTCTGTTGAACGGCAATCCGAGTTCGGTTGTACAACAAACGGCTTACATGGTCCCGCAACCGGTAGTTTACGCCATGCCGCAACAACCTTTGGAGTTGCAATACCAACCGCAAAACGTCCAATTGCAGTACTCGCAAGTCGCCGCCGCCGCGCCGTTGCAATACCAACCGCAGCCCGTACAGATGCACTACCAACAACAATATCCGGCCGTGTCGGACGCACAACAGTACCAGACCATCCAACAGTCGTACGCGAACCAAGAACAGTACCCGCAACAATCGGGAAACGTTTACGCTGCTGAACAACAGCCCGAGCAGTACCAAGAACAACAGCAACAGCAGCAGCAGCCGCAGCAACAACCGGAACAATATCTTCAAGAACAACAACAGTACTCGGACCAAAGACAGAATCAAATCCAGACGGAAAAGGACTACGAGCCGAGGAGCCCGTCGTCGGAGGCACAGGAACCGGCCAAGGAAGATCAGGAGATCCGGCGAGACCAACAGAACTTCGAGAGCATCAAGGATCAGTATTACACGGCCGTGGGCAACGAACAGACTGCCGGCGTTTTGGCGCAGATCGCCGAGTCGGCGGCCAACAACAACATAGAAGCCGGACAACCGCAGGCCAAATCTTTGGCGGCTGAGGCGGACAAGAAATCGTCCGAAGACGACGTGCAAGTGCAAAAGTCGATTCCGCTGTACGAAGGCTCGTACTCGTCGAGGAGGAGTAATCAAGAGTACGCGGACGAAGGAGACGACGAGATCATGGCCGGCAGTGAGACAGTCGGGTCCGTCATGTCAGTGGAACAACAGTGGCCGTCGACCAACAGCCACGCACCCCGTCAATTCCCGTACAACGCGTCCAAAATCAACGGCATGACAGCTTAGAAAAGTAGCTGACGTGGTGTCAATACAAAAAAAAAAATTATTTATTATAATTTATAATTATTTTTATTACTGTCAATTGTTTTTTTTTTTTTTTGTATATAACAACGTAACTTGCGGATGTCCCACGAAAAACACCGCTGGACAAAACGTACGACCGTTTTATTATTATATTTACTTTTTTTTTATATACTTACGCCACTACTATTTATATAATTTTTTATGATTTTGCCAGAATACGCGTGCCTAGTGTATTTCGTATTATACATTACACATTATACTGGGTTGTGTCGTAAAAGACTTGAACGGTAAACCAAGTCATTGCTCAACGTTTAACGTACGGATTGTTTCAAGTATTGTCGTAGGTACGTTTCCTGTACCTATAATTATTATCGATTGTAAAATATCTATTTATTCGTCCCACAACATATTATATTAAAATAATTAATTTCGCAAAGGTCACTTTAAATGTATTTTTAAGCCTTACATGATACGACTAGGTATATAATTTTGTACATATAAATATTAAAACATGTGACAAACTTAAAGTTGACCTTTTTTTTTTTGCTAGATACATCTCCTTCTTTGGTCATATTGATAGATGAATACATAAGGGAATAAACCATACATACATACCTATATATATTTTTTTTTCAAGGAGTTTTTTTTAATTTTAAATAATAAAAATACATATCTGTAGTCTTAGATCTGTATTCCTGAAGATTTCACATAAATAAATTTACAATTATTGATTATTAAAAAAAAATGTAGAGATAACTTACGCATTCAAATAAATAACAACACTATTACTTCCGCGTGTATAAATTAGTATTCAAATTATTGTTTTAAAAACAAGTAGAGACAGCTAAGGCAGTAGAACAATATAAAATAATTAACGTCGTATAGATAACAATCATTTATAATAGTATGTATAAAGGTATTAGGTTTACATATATAAAACTAAATCCTATAGAAGTCAATTTGATATTGTAGTTTTTATACCAGCCATACCCCATTGTTACAGCTAATTCTTATTGTCTAAGAATAGAGTTTGCCATTTCGCCGGTAGATAATTATAATTATTTTTTACTTGGCCACGATTTTGTCAAGTCTTCAAAATATAATATTAAATAATATGTTAATACATCCGTGACCGTGAGGCATTTTGATAAAAAATGAAATTACACTATCCCACCGGGTGTCCATCCTTGAACGACATCCGCATCAAAAATATAGTCATTTGTATTAAAGAAATAGTATTTCAATAGAGTAAAAATTATATTTTTAATTTAAAAATTATATGTACTGATAGTACACACTTAAATTAAATTAATGTTTAGTTTTTAGATTAAAATGTTGACAAAATTTAATATACCAAACCCTTTATGTAATCGAAAAACCGGCAGGTGTCACGTCTTCTTCACACATCTAATAAATAAAAAAAAAACCTATTTATAAAAATGAAATTTGTTTTAACAGTAATATTATTGCAAGTGTGTTTTAAAAATCACTTGAAGTCAGCGATAAAAAATTATTTTAAGAATATGCTTGAGATTGCGAACAATCCAATAAAAGTACCTAGTAGTTATAGAAAATTATCTATTTAAACAGTCGTATTTTTGATAAAATCAAATTACAACGTTGATAACCAATATTACGGTTTAAAAAATGAACGATAAACAAAGTTATAAAAAAAAACATTTTCAAGTACTTTAAAACGGTGGCTTTGGAAGGCTAAAAAAGTACATAGTAGGTTTCCCGTTTCAAAGCACTGTGCGCCGCTTTATCTGGAATGGTATGATTTACTGCGACAATATAAGTTAACAAACGCTCTAAGCTTTACTAGGTCTCTCGCTGACTGCCTTATTTTTATTTACACTTAAAGGGATTGTATGCGGTTGGTTTTTAAGGAGTTTTGTATAGGCAATATTTAAGAAAAATGTTTTAATAAATTTCGATCATGTCAATTAATTTACCGGTTAATTTGTATGAGCTTCATGGTATTATTTTTAATTTAAATAATTTTGTCTATAAATCTGTTATCTACTAGTCTCTGGCTGGGATTACATCCTTCAACCAGTTATAATTTGTTTTCATATTTCCTAAAGCCTGATTCACACAACTCGTCTATTTGTGCGAATATTCAGTATTCCGCCCTCTTTCTAACAAATAGCCATACATATTCCTTTCTAGTTTCAGAAACTTGAATGCAGTGTAAAGTGATATAAAGTGTTTACAACGGTTATTATTATAAATACTGTATCAATTAGTATTTAATACGTAATTATTTAATGAAAAAAAAGCCTATACACCTATATATACGTAACGTGGCGTCCTAAGAAAAACACCTCAAATTTCCACCTGACAAACAACGATATGTTAATATATCAATGGTTTTGGAGTTAAAACACCTTATGAATAATCTAATAAGTACAACATTCCGTATTGTTTGAACGAATATTTACTTATTGTTAAATGTATAATTAGTTTTATCAGATCTTCAGACATACATATCTAATTTGGAAAAAAAATGCACCTTTCGTTAAGATTAGATAGTAGATACACACATGTTCATTTATTGACACATCTAGTATTTAAACTAATATTTAAACATAACTTAAGTATTATTTCACTTTAAATGTACAGTATTTACTACATTTTTAATTTAGTTGGGTATTCTATGAAATTACTTGATTTAATTATCGCAGTTAAATAATTAAATGTTTGTGATTTTGCAGTAAAAAATAAATAAAGAATACTGTTATTACATTTTTTTTTTATGTTTATAGAATATATTTCAACATATGTATAAATTATAACTATAACAGTTGTTAAGCTGGACATAATTAAATGTGTTCATTACATTATGTTTATTTATAAAATCAACATTTTATATTTTGGTAGTGGCATAGCCAAGAATTAGTCAATGTGAGCTTAAAAATAAAAACCGGTTAGATTTTAAGTAAAAAAATTTTTTTAATTAACGGCAGGTTTTAAAACAATAGAATAAAAAAATATATAAATTGAGTAGAGCTTTGGCATTTATAATTATTGAACATTCATATAGAAATGTCAAATGGGTAATTTAATTCTATTTAACTGTATTCTTTGGCTATGTCGCTATGTTTTGAAAAGGTTTTTAAAAAAAAATTACAATTGATATAAATTAGGGTGTATAAATCACAAATAAAAAGTGTACAAATTATAATACAATACGCGAGGAAGATAGAAAAAATTACCAATAAAAAAATAGTAGGAATGAAGGTAAAAGTATTAATAATAATTAATAAAACGTTGAAAAAACTGAAAAAGACACATGAACAATATTTTAAAGCTGTTGCAAATAGTATCAAGTTTAGATAACAATTGTTGTACTCATTAATTTAATTTTGACGATTTATGTTTTTATACATTTTAAATAAGAAATATTAATCAAAATATTTGTTAGTGGACAACCTTTTTTTATCAGTACTTATTTCCAGGGGTATTTTTTTCTTTACACAATATGCATAATACAATTAAACTATCCTAATACATTTAAAGACAACTTAATTATTTAACGTCCAGAAAGTTATGAAATATTTATCTACATATTTATTACATACACACAAGTATGCTTTTCAAAATTGTTAGTTTTTTTTATAATCAGTCCATATGTTCAATATACAACTTATTTTTTTCGATTATTTAAGGGACTTTTAAATGTGTATGTTAAAAACATAAATAAGAAACAGTCCAATCAAAAAATTATTTACACGGAATTTTACAAATATAACTTATTTCAGTCTACTAGCTGTTATATGAAAATAAGAACGGTGTCTATATTATCACTATAAGGATTTTCAATGAAAAAACATGTTCCTGTTCAACATAATACATAATGAAGTGAATCTAAACTAAGGGAGGCCCCTTAAAAAATATTAAAGCTTAAGGCTGGCAATAAAAAAAGAGTAAACTATGTTTCGTCTGTTATGTGAGTTTTTCTGTGATTTAAAATATCTTTAAGACCGTGGAAACATTTTTTGCATTTGGTGCATTCATATTTCTTGTTTCCGTTTGTTTTTGGCTTGTGCACAGAAACATTATGTTTTTCCATGGCTTCTTTGGTCGGCAACACCATGTGGCAAATGCTACATTCGACTTTTACTACGTGCTCGACGTCAATGTGTTTGTTCATTGCCAAGTAGGAATTGAAAGATCGCTTACAATAGCTACAACTGAAACTGTTTGACGGGTTAATATAATGAACAACCAAATGGTCTTCCATCTCGTCCAAGGTTTCAAAATAGGCATTGCATTTGACGCATTGAAATTCTAAAGATTCACTATTATTGTGCATAGTGTTGATGTGACGCTCGAGTGTTTGGTTCTGAGCAAATCGTTTATCACAAAATTTGCACTTAAATACCATTTCGCTGTGCGTTATAGAATGTCGTCTGAGCAAGCCTGGGGATTTAAACGACGATGAACATTCGGAACATTTGTGATTGTGATCTGTGTGTACGCGTGTGCGATGAGATATTAACGTGTTCATTGACTCAGCCTCATAGCTACATAGGTTGCAATAATACATTACTTTACCATTTTTCACTACCAATACAGGTTTCATAATGTCCCCATTGAGTTTTTGTTTTTTCGTTGAACCTAGCTCTTCTGTACTTGTCATTATCTTATTCAACTCGCGTTTTATTACAACTGCCGATTCTTTGGATTTCTGAAAGAAACAGAAAAAAATATATAATTTGATATAATTATTTTTACATTTTTTTAATTTATGATTATTATTAAACGAGTTTATATTTTATAGTAGTCATTTTAAAAGCTTTATTTTAAATTAAATCTATTTGATTTAACATGTTAACCAAACTAGTTGATTAGTTGAAATCAGACACGGGAAATGTGTTGATAACTTTGGATTTGAACTACAAAAGAAAGATACTGTCTTGGACAAGTAACATATGTAATTTAAAGAAACTACTTTACTTTTCCTTTACTTTACTTTACTTTACTTAGTCAATTTCTAAGTTGCTATCTGTTAGTGAATCAACAGTCAATAGGTATTTAAAAACGTTTTCATTATAATGTTAGTTACGATATATGGATAACAACGGCAATAAATTATTAGAGTCCGACAATCAACCTTATGGCCCGAACCCACTGTAATGGTTTTTTTAAAAAAAATTCTCAATATGTTAATGTTTTAATATTGTATTAGTAGTTAAAGAACCAAAGCTGTTGTACTATGTTTTACTGCTCAGTACTTAGAAAAAATTTAGACCAAAAGCTATTTTTTGCATTATTTATTTCAAGTTACTTAAAAAAAGTCATTTTTATTACTTATTCATTATTTAGTAAAGAATATAACGAAATTACAATAAAGTGACGCGTTGCTTTTGTTACGTTACTATCACAGATTGAAAAAATACTGATTAAGTGAAATTATTTGCTAAAACTATGCTATTATTGAAATAATAACAGTCAACTGGCATTTAAACCAATAAGTATCTCGTTTGAACAAAAAATAAAAACCAATACAAGAAGTGATATGGGGTAACAGTCTGCCAACATTTTTAAAAATATTCAGGTATACATTCTATGGGCAAGCAAATCGCAAAATTAATTATTTAGTATAACAGTAATAACTATACACAGACATTTCTCAGAAAAATTACCAATAATATAGCGTTAAAAACAAAAATTATTGTGAATAGGTATATCTGATAGTGTATAAAATTGAAAATATTAGTATTATTATTAAATACTAATATTAGTAAAATTATATATTTGTTTGATTTTTCAAATGATTCTTAACTGTGATAAATATTAAATAAAAATTGGAGAAACTATACAAGAATGTTTAATAAGATACAAGTACTGTTTACAAAACTCACTTTAACCGTTTGCGATGCACTAGTATTAATTTTAGGGTTTTTATGTAACACTTCCTGGATAGTTACTGTCTCAGGATCATTTTTTGAATTCATTATATCAGTTATATTTTTATCTTTCCCAATTGTGTCATTGACAGGTTCAATAGTAAGTGCATCTGCGTCTACTATTTTATATACGTATCTACCATTTGAGTCCATTATATCGTCCGATTCTTCCAAATTCAACTTAAATGTCATCTAATGAAACAGTAAAAATGTAGTTATAAATAAGTAATAAATATTACTTACAGCCAGTAGTAAAATAAAATATATTACTAACATTCATAGGGTCATCAGATACTTGGCTATAAGTAAATGTTGTATCATTCCGCATTGTCTTAGATAATTTCAAATCACAAGTTATAGCTTTACTTTTGAACGCGTACATTAAGTCCAAGTTTTTTGCACAACAAGTGCAAATATTTTGAGGAAGTTTATCACCCTTTTTTACCTAAATAACATACATTGGCATAGAAAAATGTTAATGTTAACAAACACTGTAGTCATTATATATTTATAAACATAATAGTATCTAGTATATTTAAACCGCTGGGTTCAGAAAGGGAAATTTTCATTTCCTAACTCAATAAATGGTGTTAGTGTTAAAAGGAGACATGTTCCGCAGTCGCATATGGTCAGTATGTCAACAGTCATATGTATTATGAATGGCTTCAGGATATTGAAATAAACAATTTTTTAATGAAAGTGAAGAGTATTTATACCTACCTACCTTCCCTATCATCCTTGATAATTTTAGTTGAGTTCATAAAAGAGACATGAAACACTGTTGACACACAAAAAAAAAGTGAATGCGACCAAAACCTGCACATTGTACAACACTTCGTAGAAATATATAAATGAACTTGTATGAATTGTATAGAATATAAGGTATTACAAATTTATTTTAAACAGGTTTTTTGTCTCCTTTAAAATTAATTGTTTTAGATAGATCCTCTTTTTGAACTCAGCGATTCATTTAATTTCACTTACGACTAGAGAAGTACAATAGCGAATTTTGTCAATTATTGATGTAAACCCAATAGTTTCTTGGTTAATATTCACTGTTACATTATTGTTACCAAGACAAAGCCTACAAACTTGGAATTTATTTTCTTCAGAATTGGGTTCCTCCGAATCATCTTGAAGCTTATCCATTAATACAAAAACCACAAGGAAAATATCTTACAGGAATTTAAAAATCATTGAACTGAGTGGAAATTAACTGAAAAAAGTTGCAACAGCCAACAACAATTATTTCAATTATTATTAATTGATATTTTGTTTATAATGTAATATCAACACATATTATCACGGTCTTATACTGTATACACAAGTCCGGCAGCTCGAATATACTATGGTCTATGATTCAACCTAGCCATGAACTGTACCTAGGACGCTATCTAGTTGTATTTTCAATATACATTTTTATTGGCTTATCATAATAACATTAATATTTAATACTAATGATAACAACGGTCGCCTTCTCTACAGTGTGTCCTTTTACAAAATTCTACAAAATATTGTCATTGAGTAACACATAATATCAGATAATGCTTGTAAAAAGGTTTTTACAAACAACTATAAATTTTGGTTTGTATATACCTATTTAACAGCTAACTATTTTTAATTTATTATAATTACCAAATTTTTAATGTATAGACAACCAAAAATCTGAGCGTAAAAATGATTGCATTTACCGAATTTGTTGTACCAATTTTGTAGGTACACATTTTTCGTTTGTTTTTATCTATTATTTCGATTCCTAAAATTGTATAATAACTGAATAATTACCTCGTATAAATTATTAAATAAAAATCGAATACTGGTTACTGCTAATCGTATTGATCATTAATGTATAATCAAATTTAATAAAATATATTAAAAATTAATACCAAGGAGTTGACTACAACATCATACAGAAGCAATTTTTACTGCTCAAATGTTCTAGATAGTGAATCTAATATCACAAATTAAAAATTTTAATAAGTTTAAGCAGTTCTGTAGTCAGGGGGTCACCTGGGCCCCATGACCCCAGCCCCCTTGAAATATTTTATTGTATTTTAAATAATATACTAATATTTGGTCTTAATTACTAGTGTTATTAAAACCAAAAAAAGGTCCAAATAGTTCAAGAAATCTTTCCCTTCAAGGAAAGATATTGTTATGTTTATTTTTACAGAAACACGATTTTCGGGATACAAGAACGTTAGTGCATTATTGAACCAAGATTAAATTTTATTAGAAATTGAAGGGACCATATTTACTTAATTATAGGTAATCCTTTGGCTACGTAGCTTGTACACTTATATCTGTAGATATTAATATTGAACTATCGCCATTTCCATTGATATTTAATAAATTAAGTTTTACATCTTTCATTTGATTAAGTGTAAAATTAAGTTTAAGATTATTGTTATAATAAAATATAATTGTTTGAATAAAACGTTTGTTCATACTGGACGAGCTACATCCCTTTATAAATTACAATTACTCTGTCGCTTCATATTAAATTAACATAAATAATATTATGCGGATTTTGTGTTCAGAAAGGCCCTATACTATGATAATAAGCAAACTTTTGTTGGTCAAAATTCTATGTGCGTTTTCAATGGCTGAAATCAATTTGTTTCTATGTTGACTTAATAACAAGGAGTTAGTAACAAATGTATATTTATAAAACATTAAAATTCAATACCTGTGTTATAATATTTTCAGCGAACAATATACAGCGTGTCAAAGCGTTCTTTAGTTATATTTTATGTTAAAACCGTTCAATTTTTAAACGACTTAAACATTATTGTCAGTGTACTATAAGATTGGACATACCTTCAAGCTATTCAAAAAATAAATCCTAAGCGTTCCACAGAAGGCGACCAAAGACTCAAAAGGGCTTCACCTGAGGCTTGGTGGTTGGTATTTCGAATACATTCAGTTATTATGTAACACAAATCATAATATGACAATAAGTTATTGAAATAAAATGCTAAAATAATACATTTAATATAATATGGGTGATCGAAATGTTTAATAACTGTTTCATAAAAAAAGAAAACTTTTAAAAAAGCACTTGGAATTTTAACTTATGTAAATAATTTGGTGAATCAATTTTAGCATTTAAGAATCCAACACGGCATGATCATATTTGAGCTTTAGTGTAATGCAAAAAACCATCATGCCTTATAGAAATCTCTCAATATACAACCTAACCAAATCTAAAATCCCAATCCAATTATTACTAAATACTATTTACCAATATTATGTTAAAATTTTTTTTAGATTTACGAAAAAAATGCAATTATTTACACTTGGCGGTTGATCATGGATTTCCAAATAAGTATAAATAATACGAAGTAACTGGTAAGCAATGCATGTATTAATTTATTTTAAATACTAATAATAATTTAATTATATATCGTTTTAAGGGACCGGAATTAACTATACAGTCGAAATAATTGTACAAACGTAAATACAATTATTCTCTATTCAGTAAAATCTCCTTCTCGTAAATTGGATATGAAATGAAATTGAAAAAACCTTTTTTTATGTGACAGGGATGTTAATTCTAGACCCTTTTCTAGTGCTTGATTTGGTATAAGTAATGTATTCTTCAAAAAAGATCCCTACCCTAAAATATCTGACCATACTTGAAGTTCCAAATTACTTCCCCACCAAGTAAATACTGCGTGGATTAGGTCTATATACGATGATGCCATTTTATTCTCAGTTCCCCTCATAAACTATTTTAAACAATCGCAAAATTATCATTAATTTATTTAAGTAAATTTACACATTATAGCACTATCATCACTTCAGCTAATTAAATTAAACTACTTACACAACAATAGTAAGTCACATCTGTATGTGCATTGCACATTAAAACTATTGCATATTTTAGTATCATTAAGTTAACTTTTGTACACTCGTGCACTATTCTTTTGAATTTGTACAGACATACAAATTTGTATGTCAGATTATTATTTCATGTTGCATAGTGCATACTTATTTAGTAACAAGATTTGTTTGTAAATAAAACTACCAATATCTATACCGTTATCCTGCTGGATTACCTCCTTGGTACCCTTTATTAAGCATAAGACCTCAATAGTCTAATGCGTTTGTAGTATTAAGTTAATCATAAGTTATGCCCGAATCGACATCAGTGCATAAGACCACGTTTACTGCGTGGCCGACCAAGCTGCCAATACCAGGATGTCGTCGTTAAGAAATTAAACTTAAGGTAAGCCCGGATCGACATAGATGCATAAGTCCACGTTTGTTCGTAGCAGCTCAAGCTTTCAATACCAGGATGTCGTTATTAATAACTTAGAATTTAGGTATGTCCAGATCGACATAGATGCATAAGTTTACGGTTGTTCGTGGCAGCCAAAGCATTTATTATCAGGATGTCGTCGTTATTAACATAAAATTTAGGTATGCCCGGATCGATATCGATGCATAAGCCCATGTTTGTTGCGTGGCCGCCTAAGCTGTCAATACCAAGATTACGTCATTATGAAGTTAAACTTAAGGTAAACCCGAACCTATCTATAGATGCTAAGTCCACCATTGTCTGACGCGTGGCTGCCCTAGCCGTCAATTTAGATTCAACCCCTACCGTTGTCCAGCAGGATAACCTCCTTGATACCCTCATCGTCATTATTTGCATTATCCGTAAATCTTCAATAATATTGAGTATCAATACACTCTATCACACATTGCTGGTGGTTTTATAGTAAATACAATTTCAAGCATCATCGTAGATGGAGATACCACGTTAAAAAAAACGAGCCAAATACTCTACCCCATGGGTGGTTTGGAAACGAGTATAATGAAGCAATGTAATCAGAATTTTATCCAGATGCTCCGGTTGCCATATGAAAGTCGAAACATTTATAGTTAAACAAAAAATAGATGGGTAGTTAGATTTTCCATTTGAAGAAGTTCAATTATTTACACGTGATGGTTGTAATTGTGAATTTGCAAAACTTAAGTATAAATAATACGAAGTACAATACATGCAATACATGTAGTGATTTATATATGATATGTTAATTATAATTTATTTATACGCAGCTGTTAGAGTCCGGAATTAACTACAATCGAAATTATTGTATCAGTAAAATTCTTACTATTTGTATTAAAAATAAAATAATTAAAAAAACTTTTTTTATGTGACTGTGTGATTCTAGAACCATTTTAGCGCTCGATTTGATAATCACAACTCCAAACAATTATTTGTATTTTCAGTATTTAGCATTTAAGTAGATTTGTTTTTTGTAATTTGAAACGTATAACGTGCGCATGTAATTTAACTTTTACGTTTAATTAAACTGTAATTTTTTACACTCTCAGTCTATCACCGAGTTTCAACCAACTTTCTCACTGATAATAATTATATTTTAGTTATTAGGATTATTCACTTAAGATAAACTTTATCATGATTGTAATTATCTAAGAAGATTTAGGGTTTAATAAAAACTATCAATACTTTTAGCGAGATTTTTGCAGGTATGTGAAAAAATTGGGGTCAAAGGCAAGTCAACGGTAATTGTTTATTACAAACAAGAAAAACATGGAGAGTACAATATTGTTATGATTTTACATGTGCACCGAAATAACATTTCCTACCTGTGGTAAGCATTTACATGGGTCATAGTTTATACGTTACAACTTTTTCAGCCCTAAAACCATTAGACGTTTAACTGACCCTGTAGCACCCTCTAATATCGATTGTTAAAATCATCAATACAAGCGATGCGACTTTACTCCTCAACAATGCAATTCAACATGCGTCAATGGCATTTGCCTACACTGCTCGCCTAAAACTGTAGGTTACTTATTAAGTGTGTATCGTTTATGTGTGTGTAGTATTAAAATGTTGGTATATAACCAAATATCGGTACAGCGATGTCCATAAACGTGGACGTGTGTCTATTAAGAAGGCGTCGCACCGCCAATTTTTAAGGAGTAAAGTATAGGCAATTTTTTACAAAATCTTAATTTAAAGGTTAAACTAGGTTAAACTGGGATGTGTAATTATTAGTTCAATAACTAAGACTCTATTTTGGTAGTTAATTTATTTTTTGGGCTATCGCAGCATCCTTGAAAGCGGTTTAAAAATGTTTTTTCACCTCTACTAGTTTAAGCAGACTGAAAATAACTCGCTTAATTTTGGATTTAGAGTAAAATCACCCATTATAAAATTATAAGAAAACAATATTTCGCAGGGCAAGACGGTGCGTTTTTTTCATTATTCTAAGTATAGCGCTCAATACATAGTTTAGAAATAACGACTATTTTAATATTTTTAAACGACTTTAACTTTTCAAAAAATGAATTTTTGCCCTCCGAAATATTGTTTTCTTTTAATTTTATAATGGGTGCTTTTTCTTTAAAACCAAAATCAAGCGAGTTATTTTCAGTCTGCTTAAACATGTTTTTACCACTGAAAATCACCGGTGCGACGCCCTCTTAAGTAAGAATTGCACTATAACTTACATAATTTTTCACGACAGCATTAATCTGAATGTCAAAAATATGACAGCAAGTACATAGATCGAATATGAAGTACTTCAGAAGACAATAGGCCATCTGAGTTAAAGTGGAGGAAATGATGGTGGAAAAAGAATAAAGAAGTTTGAAGTATTAAAGCTACTCTACACTTAAGTAGGATAAGGTATTAAGAATAATAAACATTTTTGAAAATAGACAAATTACTTCGAAACGTATGTGGGAAGGTATTCTTTAGATATAGTACTATACCTACTAAATACATTTTAAACTACTACAATTTGGTATATTATCATATAATTTATAAACTATATATGACACCTAAAACCTAATATCGATAATAATTAATAACTAATAAGTAATCCCAATACATAGACAATATGTGGTGTATCATACAATGAAGATATTATCAAATCCATAATCAAATAGTAAGATAAAAAAAATCAATAATTCACGATGTTATGACTTAAAACACTTAAGTTCAATGTAAATTTTGGCAAATATTACATCAACCACTAAACAAGTAAATCATAACACTTTATATGTATATCGAGCAAAAATCATACTTGCATTTTTTTGACTATTGGTACATAATATATTATACTACATGTATAATACATAAATACCTAAATTATATTTAATTTTCTAATACATAATCATATGTTGATACTTTTTACCTCCTCCTCCTCCCCAAGATAAAGCCTTAGTTTTCTATGTTCCCGATGGTAGGCGATGACAGGTACGCCTATGACTAAGCAACTGGCAACGACGAAAACAGCTTAACAGCTACCTACTACGATGGTGGGATAAAAATATGATGAGCGCATTACCTACTTCCCTAACTGAAAATTAGTGATATGTGTTATAACACTATAAAAAGTAAAAAAATAATATTATAATTAACTTTGCAATATATAGGTATTTTGATTTTAATATTTTCTTGACATAGTCAAATTAAATACTACACTAACACTAATATGTACACAACAATTTTCACGAACAGACTTTTTTATTATATTATTAAATGTATAATATTTTTTTTTTTTACATTGTATATTCATTTAAGTACAATTTAGATCTCAACAGATCAAAAATACAACAATATTACAGATTTCAATCCACACTACATATAAATATATCTATTACTAATACTGTCTATTTAAAAAAAAAAATACCATGATTTTTCTAATAGTCATCTTTGGTAAGTACAGTATAACTGGTCGAGTAACGTAAAATAAATTAAATACATTATTTTAAATGTTTAAGTCACGAAATGCCTATATATCATTGTAATTAATATGATAAATATAATACATTTAAAGTTGAAATATAAAAATAATTAAAAAAATAACAAATAAAAAATTTTTATAATAAAATTAATGTATTACGTCATTTTAAACGATTTTTTATTATAATGAAAAATGCTTTAAAGATCTAAAAATTTTAAATATAAGTACAAAACCACTTAAAGTGCATTGATCTGTGCATTGAAGCATCACTTATTGACTAGGGTGTGTTCGATTTAAAGTTAAAATAAAAATATTCAAGTAGGATACATAATTTTACATTTGTATGTTTAAAAAAATTACATTTATAATTACAACATTCTTATTAACATTGCACTTTTTTGACGTAAATACAATAGTAACATTTCTTTGAATTTGAGATATAAGTTTAAATATTGCGTTCTATCAAAATATTGTATTACAAATTAAAAAATAGACTAGAATTTAATTATAAAAAAATGTATATGAAAAATTATAAATTATTTTTTTTGAGAGAGCGTTTAATGAGCTTTTTAAAAAAAAATTGTTCCAGTTTGAGTTATAACTTTATAGTTTATAACTTAAAAATCAAAATGGAATTACAACAAAGTAGTTTAACTGTGAGGCATGGGTTTTCTATCTAAATAGTAACATGTATCTGGCGTTTCATGAAAGTTTTTCAAATTACATGATAAGTTCAATTTTAATTACTAATAATGAGAAATGTTTTACTTATAATACACATTATAGAGACAAAACTAGTCGAATTTAGAAGATGATGTAGGTAGATTTTTTTTAAATATATAATAATATAATATTAGTACAATATATTTCTACTGATCATGTACAAATAACAACGCGCTATAAATATATCTTTGGTTTGCTACAGTTGAAATAAAAAAAAACGTAATAATATATATTATACACAGTAGGATAAGAAAAATTAAATTCATAAGATAATTATCGTTTTTATACAAAAAATAACTTGTTTGATAATATTATATGATTTAATAAATACAACACGACACCATCGCATGTCATACATTTTAGCATTAAAAATCATATAATTAAAAAAAAACTGTATTGATAATACAAAAAAATATAATATAATATAATAATAATAATAATAATAATGGTATTTATATAGTAGTATAATATTCAATAATTTTGATGATTTACAATAATATTACATGCTTAAAATCTAATATTCGCTTGAAACTACCTAAAAGGATATTTACAATATTACAACATATAGTAAAATATTTTCACAGGGACTGAAGATACAATATTTTATTTTGATGGCGGCCCGTTTCGATGTGTCTAATAAATACTCTATTATACTATAACAATAATAATAATATGATTGGTTTTTATAATCAATATTATTATAATTTATTATTATTGTTGTATTTTCGGTGTGCGCTTCTTAGCTGATACCAATGTACGGCGAAGTGACTGCACCGCCTGGGTTGTTTGCTTGGCACGGGGACGACGCGCTGCCCAGTGGCGAAGATGCGCTGGCGCAAGCGGCAGAATTGGCACGGGTAGCCGCCACTGGCGATCTAGCAGCCATGCTGGCGCTGCTGCCCGTTTCGTTACCGCAGATCTCGTGCCCGCCGTTGTTGTTGTTATTGTTGTTGTTGTTGTAGTAATAACGGTGATCTAAACAACAAACACGGTGTGTCAATTAATACCTAGAAAAGCGATAAAGACAATAATAAAAAAAAAATTGTCCAACAAAAGTGTCGCCGAAATAATTTTTTACAACCAAAAAGTCAAGATCCGTGGTGATACGACGGAGATAAATAGTACCTAAGTATATAATTTTAAAATATCCGTTCATATTTACAATACAGAACTGATTGATTTTTAATATTTCACGTTTGTGCGATTAATAAATAAAAATTTATTCGAGATTTTACGCCGTCAGAGTGGGTTGGTTTTTTAAAAATACTATTACATCATGTTAAGCTACTATTAGTGAGTTCAACTCGAATCTATAAGGATAAGTGTATGGTTTTAAAAAATTAAAAGGGTATGGATATTTGATCGCCATTTGAATATAACGCAACAATACGACATGTTTGTGCAATTTTTGTTAATTCACATAATATTTTGCACAAGGCATGACGACGGTAGAACTGCATTTTATATTTTATTTTAATAAATAACATCTGGATAGAATAAAATTATTAAGAGATACATTTCACGCGGCACACGGGCTTGTACCAAAAGTGTATATGAACTAAGGTCCACAAGACATTTTTACAGTATAACCACTGTCATTGGAATTTCTTCAAACATCATGATCAATATCATATTATGTTATGTAAAACGGACGTGTAGTGTGTTGGCCGTAGCACCACGGATATTTGATTTCAAGACGACATTATTACAGAAAATGCCGCTGGTCGACGACGAAATAAAATATACCTACTGAGAAGACTGCTTGTGCCGGTGGTGCTGTAACTGTAACCGGCGTACGGGGACGGAGAGTATTGCGTATACGGCGAACTCGTGTACGACGCGTATTCCGTGCCAGCGCCTGAAAACAAATACAATTTTTAATTATTATTGCTGTTAGATAGCGTTTATACAAATATAATATTCGTCGACAGAGACACCGCAGTACGGGTATAGAATAACGACCGAGTAGAGGTGTACAGCGGTGTCGTTTATTTGGGTCGTTGTCGTATGCGGTTTTACGCGTCGGGTGTAAGTGCGCGGTCTCGGAAGGAGAGAGGCTTTTCCATATTGTGCGTAACAATAATAATGTATACTATAACGCGAAGACTTAAGTGGTATATTATTCTTACCTGAGGTGTAATGAGTGGCGAAACCGGGCAACATGGCTGGGGTGGCCGCCGCGTATACCACACCGTTCTGAACGTTGTTATTTGCCGGTTGCAATACGGTCAGGTTGGAAGGATCGGGAGACCCGGCGGGAGTGACGTCAGCAGACAGTGACGACAGGGAGACACCGCCGCCGCCGCCGCCACTGGCCTGAGGCCCTCCGGCTCCCCCGTCGTTACTAAACCCTCCCGGCGTACCGCTATCTACACGCCAGACAAATCAAAATACAAAAAGCGTCAAAAAACATGCGTTTTTCTAATATTCTATACTAGGTTAGGATAGACTAACAACATCAGCTACAGGCGCTATAGACATATTTATTATAACATGATAATGAGAAATGGTCTGAGAATGGCACACGAGAGGCAAACTACATAAAATTATGATAAACATACTACTTGATAAGTCACAAAAAAAAAAAAATACAAGTTTATAAATTGCAACTCTCAACTCAAAACAACTATCAGCTTTCTTTCCGTTTTTGTTTGTTTTTTTGTTCACGATGATGACAAAGCGTCTCTCTTTACGTGCAATCCATAAGATGTCTATGACGGCCGAGTAGTATAATATTGTAGTGTACAAAACAAGTACATTAAACTATAAGCAAAATAACCTAAACCTACCTGTATGATATTGCACAGGTGACAGGTGTGTGTGGTCCACTAAAACTGTGCCGGGACTCATCTTTTGGATCTCTTGCATGGTTAAGGGGGCTAGAGGGGTGACTCCGCCTACTACAAAAACACAAAACAAAAAAAAGGCCGTCTAACTAAACTATCGTAACAATATGGTATTATAATATTATAATCTACTCCGTATTATAAATTAAATACAAATTAACACAGCGTCATGCGCGTTACATATGATTACACACAAGCGATGGGCTAAAGTGTTGTAAAGGCTAATTTAAACATAAAACGAGATATCCTTACCGAGCGTGGTGGGCACTGGAGGAGTGTACACCGGTGTCGCGTTCTGAGTCTGTTGCGGTTGAGTCATGCTCTCGTAAAGGTCTGCAGTCAAAGGAGCTGCGGAAAATGCCGTTTGATTGGTATCGTAGAACGGCGAGGTACCTCCACCGGACGTGACGCCGGTGCTCAGCTCGGAGAACAGCTTCTGTTCGTCTTTCAAACACCATTTGCTCGGCCACAGCTACACGTTAATAAAGAAAAATCGAGCTTAAGTTAGCAAGAACGATACGAGTAAAACGACGCAAGAGTCAAGTCTCTTGTTCAAAAGCCACAACACTTACTGATACGTTCGAGTACAACGAAGCATCGCCGCCGTTGTAGTGTAACTGAGATCGTTCTCTCTTGATTTGCAGCTGATTGTCCGAATTCAAATCTCGGTTTTCATCTGAAAAAATCAAATTCCAAATAATTTCATTACCGTTCTGTACACAACACTGTTGGCGTACTCGAACACCTATCGGGGTTTTCGCTGCAACATATAAATTAGTCACACCCCCTCCCCACCGCCCTTGCCCCGTGTTTTTGTCTCTGTTAAATCCGTACATCCTCGAAAAAAAAAACAAATAAAAGAAACGCATACACGCATTGTATGCTTGTGTCCCGTGACCCTTTCGGATAAAAAAAAAAAAAAACACCGAATGGCTACACAAACATTCCCCCGGGGTCAGAGAGCAGATTGTGTTTCGCTACTTATTACCCCGTTCCCGTTGGGAATACTCGCATTCAAAAGCTTTAAATGTCAAACTAATATATTGAATTACGCTGTGTAGCCCTCTTGCAGCCGGGAGCTTCCGAAATAACCGCGCACGGATAGCCGCTTAATGTTGTCAATTCGACATAAATCCGATTGCCCACTTGTGAGCGCACCACTATATTATACTACCGTAATGGCCTTTAGAATGACTGATCGATTTTAATATTATAATATTATGTATACATAACGATATAATGTATTGTGTGCCGGGGTAGAGTAGAAGACACGAATGTACATAAAAGTAAAATAGTAAATAATACTATTATTCGTGCACGTCAAAAAAAAAAAGGCATGAGAATAAAGTACAGTGGAATAAGTGGAAGGATAAGACCAACACAAACGGATTCTATGTCCGACATTTCAATTAAATTATGGTTTAATAATTAATCGTTATAATATGACGTTATTATTATAGCAATATAGTCGTCGAACACACGGACGAAGACGGAGAAAAACAAATAAATGTTGAGGATGGGACATGTTAGGGTGGCCGACCACACACTTATGTACAAAATAAGGCAACATTTTATATTTTATTATAATTATTGATTTCAAATCGAAATTTTCGTTGGAAGTTTATTTCACATTTGCATTTTTCGACATTTCCCAATAACTATCAAAACTCTAAATAATAAAAAAATAATATATTATTCATCCGTTATCGTGACGAACAAAACGTCCGGCGACCGTTTATTGTGATCGAACAATAACATAATGAAATTGAATAGAGTGTGCGGCACGTGTGCCGTAGGTGTAATGCACAATAGTGTACAATACTGTGTTTTAGCTGTTATACGGGTAACGCGATCGGCGAGTACAGGGACAAACCATGTCTGTGTTATCTGTCAAACTCCGGACGGTCGAAAAAAAAAGGAATTGAATTTCGTTTAGGTACTGCTGGACCACTGATTAAACACACAAGCGCACGTGGAACAGTGAATCAATTCCCAAAGGATGAAAAAAAGTCGTTTTTGTTGTCATTTAGACGATTTTCAAAAAAACAGAAGAATTTTTTCATTAAAGCGAATTTTTTTAGAATCTGAAACATTTTGCGCGTGCACTGCCACCGAAATTTGTTGGTACGCAAGCGCCTACATTGTATTATGATTATTCTTATATAATACATAATACTTTAGAGACAAAAGACTTATAATGTATACGTATATATAATGTACACATTATGGTCGTACTGCGGCCGTTACGCGGAGTCTTAAAAGGGTTGAGTCAGGGGAGAGAGACAAAAGAGGTTTGAAGTTCATCAAAGTTTCGCCAAAGTGTATAATAGCGGGTATACGAAAGGACCTTTTCGCAGTATCGACGACGTATCGGTGCCACGCGTACAAAGTGAGCCTAATGCGTCTAAAGGAAAGGAATGATCCGAAGAAATAGCGCAGCGCTGCGGACAAAAGGGGCGAGGGGAAAGGAAACCCTTTACACGGATACGCAGACAGGGTGAAAAGCTTTTGCCGCATTGTGCCTACTCGGTTTGAAGTTCCTTCGTATTGGCAAGGTGATTCTTGTATATCTCGCCAATACAAAAGCAGGACTTTAAAATATTCGGCGCACGTTTTTTTTTATGTGTGTAACTAGCAGGTATCGCGTTCGACCGATCCGAGCCAACACAATCTTCGAGATTTTATGCTTGTACCGGGTTGCCGAAAATGTATTATTTTTAATGCAGTACACAGTATGCGACTTTATGTTAAAGTATTTGAGTTTTTACGGTTTTGTTTTTTTTCCCAATGCATAATTTCAAGGATAGTTCAGGTCGTCAACACCAAACAAACACAGTGCGGGTGTACGCGATAATATAATAATATGTATGTACATAATATTATATTATAGGATTTTTTTTTGTTTTTTGTTTCTAAGAACCCGGTCTGTGTTATGTATTTTATATTATTGATCAATCTGCGCAGAGTATCAAATATGGCGCGCGTTAAAATAATATTATTATATTTATGTACTCGGTGATATTTTAAGCAATCATTTTGAGCTTAGATAAAAAAAAGTATAGGTACATAATCAAATAATCACGTAACTTTTTTTATTTATGTAATACATTTTTTTTTTAGTGCACAACATAGTAAACCTATCGTCATTGTTATGTTTTTTTTTATTTCAAAATACAATGTACTTTATAATAAATTTTATAAAATATATTTATGTATTTTATTTTTAAAAATACAATGGTTCTCGATTGCAAATAAATTGGGTATTTGTTACGATAGGAAAATAAAAATGAAATAATCGTATAAATATTGAAATATTATATTATAAAAAAATCATACACAGAATTAATACAGTTCAAGTACCTATTTTGATATTGTAATAACGGTAGATTTTACTATATGCAGCATGACACCAAAGTTCACGAGGAGTCCCAAAGTTATAGGTAATTGCATCCCTTACTTAACCAAAATATATAGCATCAATAATTGTGAAGTGTTCGGCCTTTGGTATAGGGTGCGCGGATCAGTGTCTGATCTAGTGAATATATGTTGTCAGTTTTGAAAGATACGCTGTATACCACTTGTATACTTAAATCTGAATTATTTGTTTACTTTTTTATTATTATTGTTATTATCATTATTACTACATTTTATTCTCTTTTATTTTAATGTTTGTGATTAGCAGTAGATTAATTGCCTACTAGAATCAAATGTGTTTTCTTTTGTTTAACATAAAAATATCAATGTTCAATTGTTTTATTACTATTATGTACTTTTTTTTTTTTTTCTTCAAAAATTATGTCATTCGATTGATTAGTATGCTGTGTTGTACTGGCAACCCGAATAATTGGCAGCTCGCTTTTATTTGTATTAATAAAGTTGTTTATATATATATACCCCCACTTTATCATCTTATCGCAAACAAACATATAAAAATAATAGCGTAAAGAGAATGCATTTTTTTGGGTTGACAACAAGTTAAGAAATTGCAATAACCTTGTATATTTAGGCCATGAATCTTGGTACCATACTATTTTAGTAATCAATATACTTTTGATACTTGATGCAAAGGAAATGTGATTGCAATATACTTATTTTGCGGACGGGAGGGAGCAAACGGATATTTACCCAAAATTCTATACGATCATGAGAATTAGTAAGAGTTTTTTAAGGAAATCGTTCCCCGTTGCCATCTTGTTCATTTATAACAATTAGTAATCAATGACTCAACCGATTCACGTAACGTAATATTATATATCATTCTGTAAACTGCCGTAGTTTGTTACGAAACATAACGGTTGTAAAAAAAAAAAAAAAAATACAAATCGAACCATTTGATTCACTGTGGAGAAAATTATACTATTATTATATTTTCATGTAAGAATTTTCTCAGAAAACCGCCGTTAAAGGTCGTAATTGTATTTTTATAAAGCCGTTCGGTAATCATTCACACATAGAAAACCCTATAGATAGAACAAAGCAATACATTGTAATGGTTGTAAAAACCAGCAATTATCTTTTTCTATTATACGTTTACGTTTAAAAAATTATAATAATATGTATAAAATAGTAATATTTATTAAAAATAACCGTATCATAATTTGTTATAATAATAATGCGATATTGGAAACCTATGCCGAACGGTCGATTGTTTATGATGACTTGAAGAGTATTAGTTACCATTGTTTTCGAAACGAACGTGCTTCCAGTCTATTAATCTGGAGTGCCCGGCGACGGAAGGAGGAAGCGAAAATCGAGTACAGCTTTTAAAGTATATAATATGTAGATATAGTGCGGCGGCTGTGTTTAGATGACGTCCCTTTCCCGTCGATTCCGGGGTGATGGCCGGGAAGGTTATAGTACACATAGTAATAATCCAGAAGAGTTTCCCTATATATATACACACATAAGAGCTGCTGTAGCGTACTTGGGCGGTGAGTTTGTTTGTAACGGTCGACCGGGCGGCGACGGCGGTGGCGGCGGCAGCGACGACGGTATGTATAAACTTATCGGAAAACGTAAGAAAGGGCGAGTCGTAGGAGAAGAAGCGTATAGGAACGACCGGCGAAGGGAGGAGACGAGGACGAGACGGGGAGGGGGCGGTCGCGTGGGGTAAAAGCTTTCGAAGGATGTCGCTTTGCCGAAGGGACGGCGCGGGCCGGACAACTATGGCGGTGTAATGGAGCGTTGCTAGGTAACAATATAGCTTGTAGAACTTTTCGGTATATCCCTATCCCTCGCCTACAAGTCGAATCCACTTCTCCCACCCTCTCGGCCGGCAGTTCTTTTCGGCAAGGAAGCAAACTCCTTGGCAAAGAAAATACACCACACTCGCGCATTGCCCTTTGAGCGCAATCATTATATAAATATATATATATATATACATGCTACACTTAGAGCGTTTCTTTTTTTTATTTTCTTCCCGCGTCCCCTGGGAACTGCGCGTAATGGTATAACAAGAGTAAAACAAACACTAAAACGACAACAGCTGCAAAATTAGACTTACCGCCCGCGTGATGGTGGTGTTGTTGGTGATGGTTGTGGTGGTGGTGGTGGTGGTGATGGTCCAGGTCACCACGTTTTCGCTTCCCCGTGGTCACGTTACCGTTGGGATCGTGTTGTGGTATACCGAGTATACCGTTGATGCTGTACCGGTCATGCTGTTGCTGTAGTCCACCGCCTCCCGGTTGTTGTGGGGCAGGAGCATGGGCGATGACGGATACTGGACCTTGTTGCTGCTGCTGCTGTTGTTGCTGCTGATGGAGTTGCTGGCTAGACGGAGTGCCCGTACTGCCGTTGCTATTGCTGTTCTGTTGATGATGCTGATTCTGCTGCTGCTGTTGATTGTGCACGTGCTTTGCTTTCTCGGCGGCTTTATTTCGAACGATTCTGTTGGACGAAATAAAGAAAAAACGAATTACTTTCAAGTTGTACATAACTATAAAGGACATTGCCATATGTGTATTACAATACCGGTGCCCGCCCGGAACCGGCGATGTATACCAAATCTCCGCATTCTCTAATTAATGCGGTCCCAGGCATATTTAACGGTTCGGAAAACATTATTATTTACTATTATTATCGTGTGCGAGGACCGACGACCAAAACTTTTGCGGGTGGTAAAAATTATACCTACTTACACATTATATATATTTCTGCACAGGGGGTTAGTATAGAACTCCCACGGGGCGGTGCGGCAGCAACTTTTAAACTCTGCGACCAAAAGTTACTGCGGCACAATGCAAACGGCGACGGCGGCACCGCATAACTATGTTAAAAGCTTCTCGGTCCGTTTGTCCGAGAGAAACAATACCTTTTGCCGGGACTAACTCCTTAACTCCGCCAATGCGGTATAACTTTTGAAAACGCCGAATTGCCTTTTCCCGAGCCGCACCCGAAACGGTCCGCTTTGATTATTATTATACCATCATTATTATAATTATTATTATTATTGTAAGCGCGGAGACAGTGTTCCGCACCGTATCGTTTTTGCCTTTAATACGTTTCGAGTTACTCGGGGGGGGCCCATAGAGGTCGGCACGGTAAGGCGAAGGGACAACGACAATTTTATGTGTACGGGAGCAAACTGTCGCTGGATGACTACTTACGAATTAAACAATATAATACGTTCGGCAGACGGGGAGGTGCGTATACCCATCAAGGATATTAATAACTTTATACGCAATAACGGTTATGGTAACTGCAGTATAGTCGCAAGTCCAGGAAGTTCAGCGCACGTGTCCACAGCACCGCCGCACGTGTCCTCTCATACACACTTTCTATATAATATAGTTTTTTCTTTTCTCCAAACTAGTTTTTAATACTGTAACGATTCGCATTAATCATCGTGCCGCAAATTTATTACCATCTCTTTCGGCGCGCCGGTCGGTGGCCGCCGTCACCCTTATGCACATTCGCTACGATCAGAAACAAAAGCGACTATTTTTCCCGTACATAAACGCTATTAAACATTTTCCATTGATAACTTCCAAATTTATATTCTGTCCCGCTAATAATAATAGCATACGAACAACCGCACAGCTATAACAGAGACAATGATAATGTTATTATTATTGTGTTGCTTATTGAATATTATTGGACCTCGGGATATCGTCTATTATTTTCGTCGACAATATCGGTTTGTTTGGAAAAAAACATACAATTTCGCCTTTTGTTTTCGATTACACAATGCCATTAAATTATTCAATTTAATTTTCCCCGCACGTTGCTAAACGGCCGCGCAGTTACGGCTCCGTAAACAAAACACGGAATTAAACCGAGTAATACCTATCCACAGTTTGTTTGCTTTTTGACAGAACAGGCCGCGTGACCGGACGCATCAACAGGTCTAATAACATAGATAGAAGAAATGCGATTAAAAAGTAACACGGAATCGCACCCCTATATCCCGACAATCGGCTAAGTTGTTTGATCGGATAATAAATTAATGGTAAACAATTCGTTTGCTTAATTATTTATGACAAGTCGGATAACTTTCAATCGCATAAATATAATCGTTTCATCATTCATGTAAAAAATCAAATATACTTAATTTTGTTTGGGATATCAAAATTTCTAAAATTTGTATTATAATAATATATTTTATTTCTTGATAATACCTATATATATATATATATATACATATATTACAATAATCTTAATTCAACTTTATAACGCACCTTAGGACTTTTTTGTTAACGGCGCATTTGTTTACCGTATACAATATAATAATACAAATAAAAAACAACAGCTATTGGTCTGGCGTTTCATAATATGTTTATACAAAAATATGTGTAGATAAATCTTCTCCCGTTGGATAGAACCCGCCCTTACAAAGGCGAAAGGGTATTTTCTAACTTATGCGAATGGGATTTATCTGGTATTTTACACGACAAACATGTTTATCGCTCTGAGTGGTGCGTATAATTTAGGTTCGCACACGTTTTGGGGTGCATCGGAGGGACCTCGAAGAGGGGGGCACGTCCCTTCTTTTTATGGTTATTGTATGGAGCGACGCCGCTTATTGTGTAAATGGCGCATTGATGGAGTGAAGCCGGTTACACAGTGGCGGATAAGTCAAACCGACTTCTCTGTATAATAATAATAATAATAATAATAATATAGTATATAGTATATAGTACAACATATTATATAGCTGACTACTGCTGCACAATGATCAGCGGGGAGTCCCCGGCAGATGCACTTATACAACGCACAATCGCACTTCTCCGGAGCACGTCTGCTTCGTCGTCGGATTCGGGATTCCACCGAGTGCGTATAATATAACATTAATACAATAATATTATTTCGTTTTTTTCGTTTTTGGCATATGTGTTGTACGCACAACACACGAGGGTATATATATATATATATATAAACCCTTGTGTAAATATATATATATTTATTTAAAGTGATAATAACATATTATATACGACCGAAGACGACTTATAAGTATGCTGGCTAGTGGTATATGTATGTAGTATGTATCCACCCCGTCGTCGTCAGAGTTGGTGATCACGGACCGTGTTTCCTATATGTGACGACGGCGATGCAGACCGCAGTAAAACGTTTCACTTGTAACCGGAAAAGCTTGCACACGTTTTGCCCCGAGAAAAACCTCTTGAAACGCACGAACTAACACACACAACAACAACGCGCCGGCAAAAGAGGCAAAGACCGAGGGGGTGCCGCCGATATTTGGGCACTGTATGTGTATTATATTATGTACTCGGTGGATGACGCGGGATGAATATATGCTACATTCATACCAGCCACTCGAATGTAAAATCATCTATACCATATATACACAATACAAAATGCTATAATGATATAGCGAGGGATACGAAGATCGCGTGATGATCCGCAGTAAAATGAAAAGTCACTCAACGCCATGTAAAAGGTTGAACAAAACGAAATGACATGCTTTTGTTTAGCTACATACATGCATAGTAATAAATATTTTAACATAATATACCAAGGTAATGAGGAAAAACATACACGGGTACAGATAAATATATTGGTTAAAAGTGAAAGAAATTCTGATGGCTTCGATTAAAATATTATTTTTCAATAGTTAATTTATAAATTAATTTAATTAACAGGTTTACATTTTTCGTTGAATTATGTGAAAATTAAGTGATATTTTTAAATTGGATAATTCAAAACAAATTTCGACAACATTTTTATTGCTAAAAAAAAGGAAACTATTGAATCCACTAAAACTTATTCCTTAAGGTCATGTTTTTATTAAACTAGCAAACAGAACAATTTTCTAAAAAAAAGTATTTAGGCAATAAATATACAATCTCAGACGTACGCAGAAAAAAGTTTTGAGGTATGTTTATATACCTATAAAAGTCTATTAAAGTATAATATAACATTAAAACTGAATAAGTAAATAACCATACAAAAACCAAACATTTTTGGGGGTGTTTGAACACCCAAAACACCCCCTGAGTACGTGAGGGTACTCGATGTTAATATCTAGTTACTTATAAATCATGTTAATATAACTAAAATGTCAAAATAATATATTTTGTCCATTTAATTAAATAGTTATAGTTACTCAAGACTGTCGATTGAACATAATATAGTTGTGTAATTACACAGCTAATTGCATGATGATGATTGTGACGGATTTGTGAATGTGCATCCCACATGTACGTGGTTAACCGAGAGGCACACTATAGATTACATCATTCGCACAAAATAAAAACAACATTTCATCGATTTCCCCCCCAAATTCTTAATTTTTTAATGTAAACTCCTGTGTATCTATTAAACAAAATGTTTTACCGTTATGCTTTATTGTGGCGTTTGTATTACAGTAGGACAGACATTTAAAACGTGAATATTTTGTAGTCAGTCTTTACATATCCAGTAGTTTCCCACGACCATAATATTGCGATTATGTTTTACAAAAACGAAATATCACGAAACAATTTTCGCCAGTATACTTTCGTTTTTCATTCGTACATGCATTTTATAAATTACAAAATAATAGACAGCATACATATATTTCGCTCACTTACGATGATCTCTCGTGGCACGCCACTAGAATGGTACAAATAATATTATATGCTTTTGTTATAATTTACTCTATGAGTCGCCTTGAGTTAAAATATTATGATTGTAGTTATGATACAAGCAGTTAATCCATAGGACTTTCTTAAGCTTTATTAGGTAGCTTTTAATGATATTTTTACAATTTGTTTTGTATGAACCCACAAAATCTCCCAAACGATTACACCAATTTCTTTATGTAACTATAAATCAAAACTTGTACCTGAAAGGTACTTTATTGTAGTAATACTTTATTCTTTGAAATTAAAAAAAACTATCCCCAAAATTGTAAAAAATACCTAAAAACATTTACAAGCTTTACACTTAAATTAACGGCACTATAACTTTTAACTTTTAACTTTTAACTAGTTCCAAATGTATATAGAATGTTCTTTACTAACGATATACGTTAACAAAACCAAACAAATATTATAAACCCTTTCTCCTAAAAGAGTTATAACTTCTAGAGGTAAATCTAGAGTGAGACTATAACATAAAATTTTCTCAATCGATAATTCAACTTTTTTTTAGTATAACAAACTACCGGAAACGACTAAAGCTTTGTACATTTTGATGAAAATAAATAATGTTTAACGGTTAGCTGCAAAATAATAGTTACAATTGTTTATTTTTTTAAGTATAATATGTTTTCATTTATATACATATCGTGTGGATAATATATAGTTTTTTGCATTTTGTTCGCTGATCTGTGACAAACACACAATTCGTTTCTATTCAACATATTTGTACCATAGTGAGAGAGAGAAGTGTTCTAGTTATAATGTTTGTATGGCAAAATATTATTGTAAGCAAGTTTTTTTTTTACA